CCGTGATAAGCCAATTATAATTCAGCTCCCATTTTCTGGAAGGCGTTCGCGCTACGTTTGCGGTACTGTGACTCCCACAATCACAGGTTTGCTTTTATCGGTGCCCCCATGTGTGAATAACAGAATAATCAAAATCGTCGAGTGAAAACAAGCAATTAACTACAGTGGTGTTGTCGAAGTCGAGTCTTATTCAAAATTTAGGAGACCAGCAGCACCAGCAAGCAAGTCGAGCAAATTGCGATGCACAACATGAATGTGCTCATAAAGCTGCTAGGTATAGTTTCGGGAAATCGCACATAGATAATTTATAAGATTGCTTTTTGAATCAGTTCCCTTGAGAATTTAGTCTTCACAGGAACACAATGAGTACATCCGGCACATTAAATTCTTCATACCTATCAGTACATATGCACGTTAAATGAAGAACCAACCGATCCTGGTAGAAGGCCTCCGTCCGGCCCTGAATACAGGTGTATTTTTAGACATCGTGACGGCGACAATCCGTGAAACAAACAACGTCCATTACATAGAATTTCGGCCGAGGAACTGAACAGTCAGTCTTTACTGCTACTCATTGTCACTGTGAGGAAACTCGACATGGTATTGTCACAGGACTAATCTTCCCGATTTTAAAGATATAGTCGACTCCCGCTAACTCGAACCCTCTATAACTCGAACCTCCCGCTAACTCGAAGCAATTTTTATTTCCCTTCAGATCATTTTCAATATAATTTTACCCTCGACAACTCGAACTCCCGATAACTCGACCTTTTTTGCGCTTACCAGCGCAAAAAATAGCCAGTCCATACACTTCACAAAAAATTATCCAAAACGTTATCATGATGGTCGCCATTTCTTAGATATAAATTTTGACATGACTTTGGTAATTGAATACATAACGGACATTCAAAAATCACGAAAAATGCGAGCGAGTGAAGATCATTGGTAAAAATGTTATTAATGTTAGTGCATTTTGCTCGAGCCACAATCCAAGGATACCATTCCATTCGTAAAATTAACTGGATATTACTGCGGGATCATTTCTGGGTCGGGATCATTTCGGGAACTGTACAGTTCAGTTTGAATATACAAATACAGTCGACTACCGATAATTCGAACCTTCAAGGGAAATAGAAAAAAGTTCGAGCTATCGAAGGCTATCAACTCGATGTAAGACTTTTTTTCACTCTAAAATCTCTTAGCCTTAGCTTTCCCTAAAATGCCTTGAAAAAGGCGCGTTCCTTTTGTTTGGTCTAAGGCGTGTTCTGAGGCATTTGACAAGCTTAAGCGTGCCTTGGCTTCTGCATCGATTTTGGCATATCCTAATTTTCGGGAACCAATTTTATTAATTGTTGACGCTAGCTCCACTGGTATTGGTTTTATTTTAGCACAAATGGAAAAAAAAAATGGAAAGGAAGTAGTCATGGCTTGCAATGGTCGTGGTTTGAATCGGGCAGAGCAAAATTATAGTACTGCAGAGAGAGAAGCACTTGCACTAGTTGAGGGTATTAAGAAATTTCAGCCTTATCTACACAATCATAAGTTTACTGTTGTTACTGATCATAGCTCTCTTCGTTGGTTGATGAATGTTAAAGATGCTTCTGGTCGTCTTGCAAGATGGCCTTACTTTTGCAACAATATGACTTTAACATTGTTTATCGCCCTGGTAGAATCCATGGTAATGCTGATTGCTTGTCTAGACGTCCTTATGACTCTTGTGAAATAAGTTCGCTCAAGAAAGAAGAACCTCAAACGCCCCACACTCAAGAAATGCAAAGAAGAGATCCTGAATTAGCTACAATGATTGATTTTCTAAAGAATGATATCCAAAAAAAAGAATGATGTCCTACCTACTAACGATAAAGATGCACGCAAGATCGATGGCGTAATGCGCGTGAATCTTTTTCTCAGATTGCTGTCCCAGCTGCATTACGTTTTGATCATATTGCCGGTGCTCATTTCGGCTTGAACAAAACTTTCAGTAAACTTAAGCAATACAGATACTGGTGGAAAGGTATGTTTAAAGATGTAGAACACTGTGTCAAGTCTTGCGTTGAGTGTTCATTGAGGAAGTCTCCACGAAATTCGAAAAAGGCACTTTTACTTCCGATTCCAGTCGAGGGTGCATTTGATAGAGTGGCTGTTGATGTTTTAGGTTCTTTTCCACCTTTTAGTAAGGGCAGTAGATATATTGTGGTATTTAGTGATTATTTGACTCGTTGGGTCGAAGCATTCCCAGTGCCTAGTGTCGAAGTAACTGTTATTGCGGGTCTTTTGATTGATGAAATTATTTCTAGACATGGGGCTCCACGTGTGTTGCTCTCTGACAGGGGAACTGATTTTTTGTCTAAGGTCGTTACAGAAGTTTGTAAAATATGTCAGTTCAAAAGCTCAATTCTTCTAGTTATCACCCACAGACCGATGGTCTTGTAGAAAGGTTTAATTCTACCTTGTGTCAGTCTTTGTCAATTTACGTTTCCAAAAAACAGAAAGATTGGGACGATTTCGCACCACTTATTTTGTTTGCGCATAGGACTTGTGTTTTAAATGCGATTGGGGATTCTCCTTTTTACGTTCTTTATGGACGAGAGCCACGCTTGCCAATTGACGTTAAGTATTTGCCTCCTGCAGCTGATGATTTGAGTACTTAGGTCCCTGACTATGGAAAACGTGTTGTCGAAAAGGTCGAGTTGCGCAAAATCTAGCTAGAGAAAATTTACAGCGTGCACAACAAACACTGAAGGATTATTACGATCAAAAGACAAAAGAACCTGTTTTTGAAGTTGGTCAACGTGTTTGGGTTTATACTCCAAGAACTAGAAAAGGATTATCCAAAAAGTTAATGCATAATTGGTTGGGTCCATACAGAATCGTTGAGAAGTTGTCGCCAGTGCACTTTAAGTTGCGCACGACCGCCAATAATAAAGTTGCTTTTTCGTGTCACGCAAATCGTATGAGGCCCTTTGTTGATCCAACATTGAGGCCAATTGACCCTCCGCCTTTTGATGATCCTGCCGAGCCATATTTAGATGAATCTGATATTCCAAAAGATTGTATTGAGCCAAATAATTCTGTGCATGCTGAAGAGAATCCTTTAGACATTGGGTTAAATCCTGTTGGCGAACAAGAGTTAGTGACCCCACAATCTCATGAAGAGAAGGAATCAAACAAAGAATCAGACCAAGGAAAGACAAAGAATCAACTTCAAAATGAAAAAGAACCAACTCCGGAAGCAATTGTTGTCGACAATAAAACTGTGTTTAGTGCAGAGCAAAATCTAAAACATCGAAAGAGAAACGGAAAAGTTCAGTACTTGGTCAAGTGGCTCAACTATGCTAAAAGCCCGTCAACGTGGGAACCGGAAGAAAATATTTTGGCTAAACGTCTCATTGGTAATTATCTCCGGTCACCAAAGTAGTCTTAGTCTATAGTTTGTTGTAGTCTACCTTGCTGCTGGGTTTGTGTTTTGTGTTTTTACGTTTACCTCTATTCGCTTTTCCCAAATTTGTTTTTATCAATGTATTCATGAGCGCCCTCTCCCTTGCTCTCTCTGCTATCTTTCAAGTGTTAGGGTTAACGTTTTTTGGAAGTTTTTCATCTTTAAGTTTAATAAGTTTTCTTTGTTTAGCTAAGATTATGTCCGTACTCGTTAAGTGTTGCCTTTTATATACGACCCGTCAAGCTACCAAGCTTTAAATGTTGTCGAGTGTAAATGAAGATTTTTTATTTTGATTGATAGATTTTGTTTGAGATGAGTATTATGTTGTTTTGTTGAGCCCTAAGTGTCAGGTGATTAGATGGCTGTGGTACTTTTTTTTGTAGCTATCTTGTTAACTTGATTGCAAAGGTAATTCACCATTTATTCAATGGTTCTTCGAATCTTCATGAATTTACTCCTGTGAAGTGAGTCTGCACATAACTGGAGAAGAGGAGACGTCAAAGCATATGTGCATTTAAAACGTTGGCTCTGCCATTTGGTGGAGTTTGACTTCTACTTGGTTACGTTTAAGCCGAACAATGCCTGTTTATTCTATTACTGGCCAGTACATTCTATCTTTAACACACAAGTTCGCTGCTTTTTCATGAAATTGTGTTATAACAAAAACATATGTTACAAGCAAGATAGCCAGCTATTCACGATGTATGCATTGTCTGCTTCAAACAGCCTCAGTATGAAGTCAGCAGACAGCAATAATTTACAAGACGAGATAAATTGCAGAACGAGTCGTCGTCTATTCTCCTTCGAGATAAATTTGTCTACCTATCTAAACTTTTTCAAGATGTTCACACTAGAACACTAACATGCACTTGTTTTCAAGCACTCAGGATTCAAGAACGTTCAATTACTTTGGACATTTAACGTTGAACTCTTGATCAATATTAGTGGTAGTTTTATAGTCGTTTTGATATTTCTCATTATTTCCTCAGTACTTTTTCAAATTTTTCTTGTTCTTCCGCTAGCTACGTTTGTTCCTTACTTTTTCGTTTATATACGTCCAATTGCATCGAGGACGATGCTTCTTCTAAGGAGGGAGGAATGTTGTGAAGTATTTTGAAGGTTATTTTAAGTTTATTTCGTGTTTGTGCTTGACGTTTCACTCGTGACTAGAATATTGTTATGATCAGTTTATAGTTCAAGGTTAATCCGTATTTGTGTCGACAGGTTTTCAAATTCTATTACCTTTTAAAGTAGTTTTTCAACATGAATGTCATTTATTAAATTTGGGTGGCAGTCCTTGAAGTGGGCACGTTTTGGAACCACCGCTGACCTTGACTGTTACCTACATCAGAGCTCCTGTTTTGGTTGAAGGTAGAGCCTCGTGGGTTTAGCTGTCACGCTTGCATTGGTTTTCTTATGGGTTTGTTTATTCCACTTAAGTTATCATCAGGAAAATCGTTTAAGTCATTCCGAAAAGCGGTTGTAGCTCTCATGATGGTCAGCAAGCCTGAACGTACCTACGTTTTACTTATATAAGTTGGCAGTGTTTAGCACAAGTTGGTTAGTAGTTAAGATTAGTTACAGTTAGTTGTCGAGCAGAATTCGTCAAATGATGCTGTAAACGAGTCATAAGACCTGCTGTAAAGGTTAAAGAACACCAAGGTGAAAACGCGGATACCTGGTGCCTCTACGCTCAGCGAGAAAGTTGCTCGTAAACCCCCTACAATACTTACGTCCACTCACAAACCCTACCAATCAACTTGAAATACGTGAAAAATCCAGCCTCATCGGTAAGAATGTTACTAATGTTAGTGCATTTTGCTCGAGCCACAATCCAAGGATACCATTCCATTCGTAAAATTAACGGGATATTAGTGCAGGATCATTTCTGGGTCGGGATCATTTCGGGGACTGTACAGTTCAGTTTGAATATACAAATTAATAGTTTATTAATATCCACTCAAGATAACTACCAACCTAACTTTGAGTGCTTTGTCTCCACGGCCGAATTATTTGCTTCTGCGACATCTTCATACTCAATCACTTCCACATAATTGTACGGGAAGAGCCCTTCCTTGCTGCCTAGTTGGCCACTCCACCAACCGTCTTCCTCAGTAACCCGCAGAATGTCAACAATATCGCCCACTTTTAGGGTCAGCTCATCTTCTTTCTTAGCGTCATATGAAAATATTACTTTCGCCTTCTTTCCTGCAACTGTGATTATCAAGAAATTGATTAGTATACTTACGTCCTCTCAAAAACCCTACCAATCTACTTGATATACGTGTAAATTTAAATCTCAGAGAAAGTCAGAAATACCTATAGTAATATAACAATGATAATAATGGCCAAAAATGTAAAATATTTGATCCATCAGTAACTGTGCCAGGTAATAAAGGCTACATTAATCAGTTAATTAATTAATTTTTTTTTTATTATATATGACAGCCTGAAGATGAAAGATACTACGTGCAAATCTGGTTTACCCGCTGTCTGAGTGTTGTGGTCACAGCACTAAAACAAACCAAAAATTTTCAATCAATTAAGTTCGCCTAGGCATGTAGCCTGACAGGCACCGAGGTAACGATTCGCTCGCCTAGCTGATTCAGATTAGGTGTTTGAAATTACGGCAACTGATAAAGTAGGAGCGGGAGTGATATTGTTTGGGTCAATGTTGACGTTCACTGCGCAAGAACAGTCGTCTTCAATCCCAAATAACTACTTGTTGATTTCAGAACGGCCCAAAGTTATGGATGACATATTGATTTCAAGCGCCATATTAAAGCTGTTCTGATTTCTCAACGATGCTTCGGTGGTGGTTTTTATTTCTTAGATTACTTTTCCTTTTAAAATGTGGTTGTTTTAGTCCTTTGTTTCGTCAAGGTAATGAAACGAGGTGTACGTTGTAATTCGACGTATCTGGCGAACCGTAAAGGCGATTATGATCATCTGATATGGAGACGAATGGCATGGGATCCCTACAGACGCTGTGTCATAAAAGAGCGACATATTGTGCTACTGATAAAATCCAAATGGTAGGTATTACAGGGATTTGATTCTTACAACCCTAGCATTTTCAATTCTAAACAACGGCCTGGGCAACCAGCGGCACAGAAAGTGCGTCGTCACATCAACTTCTGTTCGAATAAGTTTGTCGAATTCATCTCTGAGCACAGCGCAACCTGAGATGTAGAGCATTTCAGAGTCGCGTGAGTTTGGCATGTGCTAAGACTCAGACGGTAGATTTGCATTGGTCATATTAAATGGTAGTTCTTTTGACAGAGTGGTGAAACATCTTTTCTGAAGTGAATGAATATTAAACATAGCCATATTTTCTGATGGATACACAACAGAAATCGTAGTTCCTCTGAGGGCTTCTAAGATCTTCTAAGAATATTATTGTTAAGTTTTGAAAGGATTAACCCCAAGAATAATTTCTGAAGGGGACAGACAAAAATGCGATTTGGCCTTCAGTGTTATAAAAACCTGGACCAGTGTAGGACACACGCATGAAGAGATTGATACTTTTTGGGGGTGTATTCAGGGCACCTGGATTTCAATGATATCTTCACCGTTGATGGTAGGTGCACTCAGGTGTTTGTAGTGGTCGCTGTGATAACAGCTAACTAAAATAGTCTTTAAAAAACTATTGATATACCGTAAAATTCCAGAAATAAGCCCTGGGGCTTATATTCTTCAAAGGCCCTTTTGGAGGGGTGGTTTAACTAAGAGGGGGGGGGGGGTTTGTGTTTCAAAATCGATTGGGCTAGCCTTATAGTTGGAAGTAAATTTACCTTTTTTGCTTTGTTTTACTTTGTATTTTAGGGCAATTTTCCAAGTACAAGCCCCCAAGGGGCTTATATTTGGAGGGATGGTTTAACTACGAGGGGGGGGGGGGGGATTTGGGTTTCAAAATCGATTGGCAGCTGTTATTGCTTTGGCGGACATTGGTTGTCTTTACACTAGGCTGTTAAGTAAGACTTAAGAGCTGCTAAGTTTTACTTAACCAAAATTCGTGTGTAAAGGCCTAAGTAAAATCTCAAGTAACTTTACTTTGCGTCCCATTAAAGTGGGAAAATTGAAACGATTCAAGAAAATTTCAAGCGACTTGAAAACCATCCTTATGACCGACTTAGCTGACTTGCAGTTACTTGCGGTTTCTTGAGCTTTGAGAAAGATCAATCTTAATTAGGCCATCCCCCCCCTTTTTTTTTTTCGTTTAGCGTCGAATGCGTTTCCTGATGTTGGTCGGTCGGTCGGATTGAAAAAAAAAACCTAAAACAAAAAATCACAAGAAGTCTCGGAATAGGAGTCCCTGGTACCCCAGGATGACGTTAAAAGTTAACATTCACATATTTGGATTAACAAAATGCACAATATGCTGTAAAAAAAGTTCCTGTTTTTGTTCCTGTTTTTCCTTATGCTGTTACTACGCTCATTTTTCAGATTAAAAGAATTATTTCAAGTGAAAAATGGTTTAACTACGTCGTTACTTTTTTTTTTTTGATAATGCCAAAAATTTGGGTGGGTCGGACGACGCTAAATGGAGAAAAAAAAGAGGATGGCCTTACGTTGCGTGGGAAGGTTTCTGAAGAAACTTGAGAAACTTTTCATGAACGTTTTCTACATTTTGACATCGGCGTGAAAGAAAAAAACACAAAATGTTCATTTGAAATTGATTTTTACCCATGTACTGAGCTGATTTAACTTGCGTGAACGGATCCAGGATCCAGTTAGTGTTTTACGCGAATTATTTTTTAGGATTAACTTATGGGTATTTGAATAAAAAATTATCAAGAAATAAGTTATTTATCTGTCATTGTTAATTCATAGCATAAGCTCAAAACACGATCGTGAGACTACAGATCGCAAGATTGTTAGCGAAACTTTAGACGGGCTACTCCCCATTCTTGAATTAAAACTAAAGTGTTGTTTTTGTACAGTGTTTCATTGAATTGCTATTCATTTTCTTATTCATTACTTGCCATTCAATATTTTTGCAATGTGCTGCTCTTTTTCCATATCTCGTGCCCTGAATAAAGCTAAAGCCGCTTATGAATGAAGTTTGTTTTCAGTTGTTTGTTTACGGCTTTATATTCTCACTGAAACAGTGAGCTTATCTAAAATATGAAAGAGCTATCCTCTATTCTAACGGCAGACTCGTCGGCTTTTCGAACCCGAGTTTGTCTTTAATTTTGTAAAAAAAAAAACAGTTGTAAGTTGCTTTTGTCTTTAATTTTGTAAAAAAAAAAAACAGTTGTAAGTTGCTGTATTATTAATTTTTATAATTTGTAGTGTGATTGCCTCACGTTTCTCAGCAATGAACAGCACAACACCTGAACACGAACCGCACAGTTTGAGAAGGTTAAAGACTGAGTAAAAAGTTAACAGTAGCGAAAAAGGTTATCGTTTTCCGGCAAGCTTTCCTATTATATGTCTGTCCTCAAAGAAAATGTACACCTTACGGTAAAACTTTCTATCAGATATTGTGAGGCTGAATAAATGTAAAGGCTACACTCATACCTGTTTGTCGGGGCCGTTAAAAAAAAAAATAAGAAAAGAACAGAAAATACGTATGAAGAAATGGCCCATTGTACAGACCTGAATTTGCCAATTAACGTTCAAACAATAGGCCCTTTGTTCCAGGTGACACCCGCCCAGACCAAGCCGAAGTTTGTTTGAATAATCGGAAACCTTCGGCGTGACAAACTTGCGAACCAGGGGTGTAGGGAGTGCTACATTGCGCTATGAAGAATGATGCTTCACTAGGGTACCGAAGGGAGAAGTTGAACTTCGTACAAATTTAGTCCGTGCGGAGCTGAGAGCAGTCTTTAACTTAATTTGTTTTTGCTTCAGGTTCTTAATCGCACAACTGTGAGCATCGAGACAGTGAACTAAAATCTTAACCTTTTTACGTTTAGAAGTTAAGCTCATTTTTTGATCAAGTACACTGCAAAATAATCCGCGGTGGCTCCCGCAATTGTCTTTTTGTCATCGCGCAAAAGTGACGGGGTTGGATACAAAATAACCAAAAAAATCGCGTCGCTCAGATCATTTTATGTCGGTCCTTCGCGCTTTGCTAAGACACTTCTAAAGAGAAAGAAGGAATTAATTTGCATTCTTCGCGCTACCGAAATCTATATCATGTACGCATCAGCATGATGTCCGCACTATTTCAGATTCTCTTAAACACATTGAGGCCGCACCGTTCAGTATATTTTAGCCCGATACTACTTTACGACCCTGTTTTGCTGTTTTAGAACATATTTGTCTACCTTATTTAAACAGTTTACAAAATATACCATCCTATCATTTGCTTTATGAGAATAACCACAACTCAGCAATAACAATGCTTTGTAGCAATAATAATTACCGCACAAAGGTGTGATTTTTAAACTGGCAACTCCCCCAAATACAAACCCTACCAGTGAATAGTTCTAACAGCAAAATTCACTGCAAATGATTTACAAGGAACTTAAACGAATGCGTATTTAAAACTGTTTTGTGAATCAATCCGCTTGTATCTTGAGAACTGTGACTTTAAATCGAAATAGGATCGCGGAAAAAGACCTAGTATAAATTTTGCACGCGCAGTCCGTACTTTGAGGCCTACGCCGCAATGAAATATCGCCGCTGCACTGAACATAAACGACGTAAAAGAGCCCTCATTTAAAAGTTTATTCTGGCAAAAACTGTTCTCAGAGAGGTGAATATCAATTCTTTTGTTTTTGCTTATGCTAGCGGCACTTAAGCAGAAAGGTGTGATTTTTTAAGCCAAAATTCACGACAAAATCTTTTAAGCTACATCGCTATGTCACAACACATAGTCCCGAATCTATGTCCATTTAAAGAAGAAATTTATTAACCTGCGTTTGAGAAAATAACAAAAAAAAAGAATGCAACGCGGGTGAACGCAACAACGCGAAAAAGGCATTGTAGCTTTAACGGCTTCATGCAGTCACGCTTCATGCTCAGTAAGGGACGCGGGGCCATAAAACCGTGTTTTAAACTTTGTGGGTAGTGAGGTGAAAGGACGTGTGATTTTTTTGAGTCTTTTGTTTGCTGTTCCCTTTCAGTGCTTCGATCGAAATCTGAAAATTGTCTTTTTATAGACCTAAATCACACAAGTAAACAGCGCGTTCATGTTAGAGAACTTACGCACCATTAAGCGCGAGAATTTTGCTTAAAAAGAGCAACAAATTATATCAGCAGGGGGACGTGGGGCCATAAAAGCGTATTTTAAACTTCGTGGGCAGTGAGGTGAAAGGAGGTGCGATTTTTTTTCAGCCTTTTGTTTGCTGTTCCTTTTCAGTGTTTCGATCGTCATCTAAAAATTGGCTTTTTATAGATTTAAATCGCACAAGTAAAGAGCGCGTTCATGTTAGAGAACTTACGCACCAAGCGCGAGAATTTTACTTGAAAAGAGCAACAAGTTATATCAGCAATTAAGGGTCGGGGGCATAGAACCGTGTTTTAAACTTCGTGGGCAGTGAGGTGAAAGGAGGTGCGATATTTTCAGTCTGTTGTTTGCTGTTCCTTTTCAATATATTAATCGTCATCTGAAAATGAGCTTTCTGTTGTTTGATTTAAATCACACAAGTAAACAGCGCGTTCATATTAGAGAAGTTACGCTCCAAGCGCAAGAATTTTGCTTGAAAAGAGCAATAATTTATATCAGTTTAAAAGGGTCGGTGGCACAGAGCCGTGATTTAAACTTCGCTGGCAGTGAGGTGGAAGGTGTTATTTTGTTCCTTTATTGTTTACTCACGCTCTTCAATGCATTCCATGGTATGTGATTTTTATTCAAAGAAGTTAATTCTTGTTCAAACAAACGACTATAAACTTGGAAATTTGGCTAACCGGTATTTAAGCTACAAGAGCAGTGAGCTCAATTGAAGTACGTCCAGAGGACAGTATATCAAACGTCGGCCGGCGCTCGCGCGTGTCACGCTAGTCGCACGCGTCTAAGACATCGCGATTATCATACACCACCTCTGTAAGCGCCAAAGTAAAGGCTGCAGCTAGAAAGGCTGTTCTAGAAGCGGAAGCCGCCACATTGAAAATGCTTCATTAGATTGAGGAAGAGGAGCGGAAATTGCGTCAGCGCAAAAACGAACTCAAGCTAATACTGAATTAGCAAAGGCATGAGCTGAAGAACACGCGTATGCACAAGTCGAAATTGGCGCGAATTCGCCTCACGCAAGCGATCAAAATAAGAAGTTACCTCCGACTCCCCTACTCACAGAAGCAAATTTGGAAAACAAGCTAGAAAGCCAAAATGAACCCAAGGAAGAAAAAACAGAGCCCGCATTTGTTGAAAAACTCACCATACAGACCAAAGCATTCAATCCAGAAGCACCCGAGTGGAAAAACGGAGACACGAGATTTCCTGTAATGGGCAATGAAGCGACCAGAAGTACACCTACAGCGGATCTACAACTTCTACTTCTTCAGCAACAAGAGGCTATCATGGCACTGACCTTACCTCAATCTGAGCTTCCCGTGTTTACCGACGACCCTATTGAATATTGTAACTTCGTGTCAAAAGGATGACTGGCTATCTCAATGCGATGAGTTTAAGAAGTTGAATTTATACAACCGCTATCAGTTCGTCCGAAGTAAACACCTTTGCATTAACTGTTTAACTCCTGGACATTTTGTTCAAGACTGTCCAAAGAGAAGCTTCTACCCTGTCGAAGGATGTACAAGGAAGCATTCTACATTCCTTCACGAGAAACAATCGTCCCCAAAACCAAGCAGTACCGATAAAGAAAATCGACCTAGCGACCAAGGACAAGCAACAAGTCCAGGTGCAACGCAAGCAAAGAATGGCTATGTGAAAAGCGAATCATTTTAAGTATCAAGTGATTCGTGGTAGGGATGTCGATCGTTCCCGTGAAAGCGAACGTAAAAGGCCAAGGTAAGAAAGTACTCACTTATGCATTCCTAGATTCTGAATACAATATACAATATGCAATACAACAAAATTTGTGTGTTAAGGGTCTCGGTTGGGATGACCCGATCCCTGAAACAAGCAAGCAGAAATGGGAAGCATAGCTGAGAGAGCTACCCAAGTTGGAACAATTTAAAATACCGCGATGCTTCAAGCCCCAAGAATTTTCAGATGTAAAACGATGTGAACTTCACTACTTCTCAGATGCTTCTAATCATGGGAGGGTATGGAGCAGTTTCGTACCTGCGTCAGATCAATGCAGTTGGCCAGGTTCAATGCTCTCTCATCATGGCAAACTCAAGACTGGCTCCACTCAAGGCTATGACGATTCCAAGGATGGAATTATCCGCAGCGGTTCTAGCTACAAGATTTGATCGGATGATCAAACAAGAAGTCACCTTGCCAATCGACCAATCTACTTTCTGGACTGACAGCACTTGTGTCCTCCGCTACATAGAAAACAAGGATAAAAGATTTCAGACCTTTGTTGCAAATCGTATCTCAGCTATTCTTGACCAGTCCACCGCAACACAATGGAAGCACGTTGACACTATACAGATTCCCGCCGACGAAGCATCAAGGGGGATGACAGTTGAAGCATTGTTAAATAATGAACGCTGGATACAAGGACCAGACTTTCTAAAGCAACCTGAAGAAGAATGGCCACAAAGATCCACAGGCATGGGTAAGATTTCTCCCGATGATCCTGAAGTAAAGAAAACTGCTGAAGCATTTGCAAGTGAAACAAGCGAACAAACCGAAGATTGCATTAGCAAAACCTTTCAAAGATTCTCTTCATGGACTCGCCGTTTGAAAAGGGTCGTGGCATGGATTCTACGCTACAAAGGCATGTTACGCAGACAGAGCCAGCTGCGCAAAGAAAATAAGAAAATCAACCTCCAATCAAGCAAATTGAAATTGTCCCCTTAACTGTGTGCGAGATAAGGGACGCCGAAGAAGTCATTATTAAGCACGTGCAGAACCAAAGCTTCAAAGAAGACATGCAAACCCTTAGGCGCGTCACTCAAGAAACACAAGACAAGAAAACGGCAGTGAAGAAGGGTAGCAATATCTACAAACTTGACCCGTTTATGGAAAATGGCTTCATACCAGTTGGAGGACGTCTCCACAATGCACCAATCAAGATCGACGCAAGACACCCAATTATTCTTACAAAGAAGCATCACGTTGTCAACCTCATCAATGATTACTATCATCGAGCTTCTGGGCACTCAGGAGTTGAATACACCTTATCGTTACTCAGACAAGGCTACTGGATAATCGGCGCTCGATCGTTTGTACGTAACATCACCAACAAATGTTTTAATTGCCGGCGACGTTAAGCACCTGTTATGCAACAAAAGATGGTGAGCTTACCAGAAGATCGCATAACACCTTCAAAGCCACCATTCACATATAAGTGGACTGTTTTGGCCCCTTCTAAGTACGTCGAGGAAGAGCAACAGCTAAGAGATATGGAGTATTGTTTACCTGTCTTGCCATCCGTCCAGTCCACATTGAAGTTGTACACTCTATGGACACTGAATCCTTTATCAATGCTCTACGTCGCTTTATTTCAAGGCGAGGACGTCCAGAAGAAATTAGGTCAGACAACGGAGGAAACTTTGTAAAATGCGGAAAGGAGCTAGGTGAAGCATTGCAACAATGGAACCAGGCTCAAATTCACGAGTACTTGCTCCAACGTGATGTCAAGTGGAAATTCAACCCACCCGCTGCTTCTCACCACGGAGGAGTATGGGAAAGATGTATCAGAACAGTAAGGAAGGTTATGAAGGCGCTACTTAAGGAAACACGTTCGTGACGATGAAGGCCTATGCATGCTGATGTTTGATGTGTAATTAATCGTATATGGAAGACCAATTACAAAGATGTCTGATGATCTACGAGATTGCAACGCACTCACCCCCAATCATTTGCTGCTACTTCGGGGAGGATCAGCAATGCCACCCGGAGCGTTTTCAAGAGAGGATAACTATAGATGTGGTCGATGGCGCCAAGTACAGTATCTCAGCAACCTGTTTTGGCGACGATGGACGCGAGAATATTTACCTTCGTTACAGCAACGCCAAACGTGGAACAAGCCACAGAGAAATCTCGCTGTAAATGATATTGTGCTGCTTCTGGGCGAGAACACGCCCCGCAGTATCTTGCCATTAGGACAAGTAATTGAAGTCTACAGCAATCGTGGGGATGGATTAGTACATTCAGCTAAAGTCAAGACCAGATCAACGGAGCTGGTGCGACCAGTGGACAAGATTGTTTTACTGGAGTCAAGTGCAGAGGACGCAATTGACGCAAGCAAGGATCAGTAAGATCTTGTTATAATGGGCATTTATTAGCTTATGCTATGAACATTATATTTTACAATCTATAGTTTGTTAGCTTAAGCGTTTCAAACCTGTTATATAGTTATTTGGTAAAGGCTAATTTTATCGCCTTTAAGGGGCCGGAATGTTAGTTTTGAAACGCTCTTTTGTTCATTTGCCTTATAATATGTTTAGTTACTTTAAGAAATAATTTTTGGTTATAGTACGTGATTATATCAATCTTTCTAGAAACATTTCGTAGGTTTTCACGCTTATGTTATGGTACGGTACTTTCCGCTAGGAAACGCGCAAAGCGTAGGTACAGTTTTACTTAGTTAACGCCCTAGGCATAGTACACGTATAATCTATTATAAAAGAGGCAACACAATACTAGAAATTACAAGTTATCCCGCTATCATTGGAGTTGCTATCAGAAGATATTTTGCTGCTGCCAGATTGCTATTTTTTGTTACTTTTGGTGCGAGTCCTTGACCAAAGTAAGTCTTTTGTTTTCTTATAGTTATTTAGTACTGTAATTCGTGGAACTATCAAGTCTTTACGCTATCTCATGAGAAGGACATTGATTTGAAGACAACTGTTGGAATCAAACAGGACTGATTGTTGTTACTATTACCAAAGTATTTTATATAATCTAGTTTACTGTTTTAAAGATAAGTTCTGTTCAAGCGGAATCGCTACGATATAGTTTTTTTTTTATTGTTTTATTCATGCTGAGAGTTAAATGTTAGTGTCTCGGTTAATTAGCTCAAGTATCAATTATCGGATTTTCAGTTATCTGTGGAAAATACTTTACCCACAAACAAAACATTGATTTTAGGGTTGACTGACTGCCCTCCTTACCGTCGGATACATCGGAGTACATGCTATCTCTTTCTTGGCCGGAGTCTAAAAAACAATGCACAAAACAACATTTTCATTAAAAATAGCTCTTTGATTCTTAAAGAGCACGACTTTACGATGAAATGACACCGTCTCAGTAAGATTACATAAACCTTACCGTCGGATACATCGGAGTATATGCTACCTCTTTCTTGGGCGGAATCTAAAAAACAATGCACAAAACAACATTTTCATTAAAAATTGCTCTTTGATTCTTAAAGAGCACGGCTATACGATGAAATGACACCGTCTGAGTAAGATAACACAAACGGGGGAGGACCTGTAAATCACCAAGTAGTAGAATGGGTTGATTTTTTCGCTAACCCTGTTTTCAAAAATCCGGGTGTCACCTACAATCTAAATAACTATAACTTAACGGCAAAAAAAACGGCATTGTAACTTCAAAGTTGAAGTTAGTGTTTGGCCAGTCAAAACCTTTAGGGCATCCCCACCTGCCTAACAAGTTATTTGAGATGTGTCTTTTCCGATTTTAACGTGAAGTCGCTACTCGATTGACGTACATTTTTCTGCGAAATAATTAACATGTTTCCATCCCCCACTCTTTCTCTTCCTTCCCTCCTCATTTTGACGTCTGCCATGCAAGCTTACATTCTGCATTTGTCGCACACTGCTTTTTTCATCCTTGCCGAAAAAGAATTTAAAAAGACTTTCCATTTATTCTACAGTCAGACTTACCTCGTCACTTTGCTAAAGTGAGTTCTAATTTTTTGACATGTGTGTGTAACATGTTCTCAGAAGAAGTGCAATAGAACCCAAATTTTCCCACGTTTCTTCGGCAAGCGGCCACGTTCGTTTTTCACGGCGACTTCTAGCTGAAAACCGACCATTTCAAGTTGTTGATGTAAAAGGACGTCGTGCAAGTGTAAAGTTTTACCATTTGTTGTGGCTATTTTATTTGTATTTATTGTTCCTAATTCAGAGGAGGTATATTCTCTTCGCTTTTCCATTATGACTAAATTTTTGGATGCAATTGAAAACCTGGTAATAAAAATACCCGAAATTATCAACAACGCGGCTCATTTGAAACTTATAACTGCTCTCAGCTCTTTTTTACGAATTCGAGGTTGTCACAAACACTTTTCGCCTTCACCTTGTCTAGAGAAGTGGATTTCTGGCACGTCCTCTTCATCTTGAAGCTCCTCTCTACTCGAATATGGTGGCTGAGTTGAGTTATCGGTATTGCCTAAAAAGGTAGCAGCATATTATTGTTGAAAAGAAGTTGGAAAATTAGCAGCAAATTGAAACGACATCTGCTCAACAGTTAGCGAAAAAAGGAAATAACAAATGGTTGTCTATATTTTATGATAAATAGACTGACCTTTGATCAATATACAAGGAGAGGATCCAACAGCAATATTACCGGTACTGTTAGACACATGGTTGTTAATGATTACATTCTGATTTTCCTCGCAGTAATCTGCAAATTGAGTGATAAAATCATATTCAGTTATTTTTCAAGTGTTTTATGAATAAATTTGTGTCATTGATAAATCTTATTAAAAACGGAGTGTGATTCAAATAAGAGAGTGAAAGCATAACTAAATTACACAATCAACTACAAACATCTTGTCAGACAGTAGAAATAGGAGTCCCAGCTTATTATCAACGAGCAATGAAACTAAAGATGAACATAATTTCAAATATTGGAACAGGAAAAATGCAGAGCACATTTGAACCACTGCACTCACCGCCAAGTCATGGTAGGGCTTGAGTGTCCAATGACACCTGTCTTTGCGTTGTGTCATGTTGGTGTGTCTTTTAGAGGGCCTCAATGGGGTTAACCTTCAGCCGTCAAACGCCCCGAAGTTTAATCATCAATCATCAAAAAAGTTTATTTTCTACCGTTAACCGCAAATAAAGGCAGATTAATTGAACCGTCAAAACGTTCAAGACATTTAAACTCTTACTGTTTTAGCTTATCTTCGCAGATTTTGGCTCCCATAGAATCTCTAAACTGGAAAAATCAGCTCCCGTGTTCTCAGAAACTCTCTTTCTAGACATAATATATAGATTTAGCCAGGGCTTAGAGCCAAGCGCCCTTCAACGAAAACAATTGGTCTAATAAACCAAAAAAAAAAAGAAAGGAAGAAAGAAACAATTCTGCACGTGAAGCACACTTTTCTGTACATTTTTCTGCCGTTGTTGTTGCTCGATTACAACTTTAAACTATCTCTTTACTCGTTTTATGGAGGAAATCAGTGTCGTATGTGCTCAACAAAAATTTGGCTGCTTATATTCCCGTTCGCTTTTTTTTTTTTTTCACTGCCGCTCATTTTCACTTTACTGGCCGCTAGCATTTCTCATTACATTTTCTCACCAACGGAATAAAATTTCCATTGTTCTTTTATCGAAATTCGTCTCTTTTGGTTTTTTGTTTGTTTTTTTGCTTGTTTTTTATATCTGGCTCTTGTTCTTTTTTGTATTATCCACGTCAGCGTAAAGCGAGAGCTTCGCTGTAAAGACCTTGCAACTTATAACATAATGTGTGAAAACAAATTTCAAAGCCCAACAGTTACTATTAATTGATACAGAAGTTAATATCTTCTTAACACTTAGACTTAATTTCCACTTAATAACCAGCAACCGTCAGAAGTTCTGAAATTTAACCGTCAGCTGTAAAAACCCGAAAAAATTACCGTCAACCGTTAAAGCTATCGCCCCATTGAGACCCTTCTGTTAGAGTACAAGCAATGCACGTCCCCTCTCACTTTTTTTTCCTTTCCAAAGGACTCAAATAGGGCCTGGTTTGTCTATGCATACATCCGTGTATCGGAGAATTGGATGCAAGACACAGGGAGCCGGAGTTAGTGGCTTATTTTTTTTAACTGTTCTGAAAAAATATAATCGTTTCAAGAGCGTAGGAAACTAATATCAGCTTTCACGTAACCAAAGATAAATCAACACTTGGTAATTTTATAATATTATAATTTTTTTATAATCCGTTTACTACACTTATTTTAATATTTAACATTGCAATCAACAGATTTGACACTTGGGGCCTATACTAAACATACGTCATAAACACCACACCAAGCAAAAATGAAACGTTCTACTACAAAGTTAGAGTTTCTTAATTCAGGTTATTTTCTGTTAATTGGAGATTCGTGTGGCTTGCTTTTAAATTATTATGTGGGAAAAGATAGTTGGGTCTATGCTAAAGCTGCTATGAAAAAGGGTGAAAAATATCATCTCAATAAATGGCAAGGAATGTCAAATCTTCGCTTACCAAGTTTACTAGAGGCCCCTATTTTCAATTTTGTTAATTCATCTTCGATTTTCTCCACCTTGTCGTCAGCATTGTCACATCGTCGATTTAAATGTTCTTGATACTGCTCCAGTTGTTCGACTCTTCCATATGTGTCAGCAAGGCCTTCTTCTATCGCTTGAAGTCGCATCGATAAGTTAGCTTCGAAAGACGAAAGTCTTTTCAAAACGTTTTTTATCTCTTCACTTCCATTTTCTGAATATTTTTGTAGCTTCTCTTCCACTTTATCCAGTTGTTCGTGATACTCATCCAACATTTTCTTATGCCATGCTTCCTGATCTTTAAGAGTGGACTCCATAGTATTGATGAGATCCCTCACTTCATCTTGTAACAAATAGAGTGCATCTTTCACCACGGAATTTTCCATGATTAACTGACAGCCTGTAGGAAACAAGAGACTAGGAGGCGTTAATTCGCCGAAGTGGATATCTAGCAAAAACCACTAACAATAACGACAAAAAATTCACTTCTTTGTTGTTGTTTCTTGAGTACCTAACGAAACTGTAGACTGAAAACAACAGATAATTATATTTCCTTTGAAGATTATGAGCGAAGGAACCGGGGTAGACTTGAAATTTCTCCTCAGAGCATCCCTTTTAAAAACAATTTGCCGCTTAGTTTAGACCACTTTATCCCAATAAGTGACATCCCTAACCCTGGACATACTGCTGACTCTTCAGACGCATACGGTTCCCATCCAAACCTATACTGAGCCATAACTTATTTTCTCATGATTTTGCATCAACATTGAGTCCTGCTTTCGACCTTATTTTTTAAGCTTATTTAAACACGTTGTAGGTACGACCCCTGGTCTCCACTTCATTAATTAAACTGACAACGGCCAAGAAAAAGGTTTTTTTTTCTCACTTTTTTGTCATTAAGGCTTTTGGTATTTACATTTTTATACTTTTCGGCTGAAAATTGTTACCTTGTGTTTGCCACTCAGCAAGTTGCTCCAATGCTTTCGTCTCTACTGTAGCCGTCAGTCCCAGACTCTTCAGCAATTTCTCCAGCTTGATAAAGCAATCATTGAACAGGGCATCTGTCCACTCGGTTACATCAACATGGCCCCATTTGTTTCTGACATTTTCCCGGACATCATCAGCGCACGCTTGAGTGTGGAGGGAGAACACAGTGGAAGGCATGTAGTTCTTAAATCCCAACAGGCGAAGGAGGGCAGTCATGTCCAACGACTCATCGAAGGCTGAAAACTGAGCCAGATAACCTGGTAGATATAGCTTGGCTAAGTCTACGGAAGAATTAATGTTGAAGTTGTAGTTGCATGTACCACGCACAAGATTATTGTTGTTGATATTTTGAAATTTTAGGTCCTTAAATATGACTGGATTCGCTCTGACGGTACCGTAGCTTAATGTTTTTAGGCTAGACGGTGGTGTTGAACTTTGGCAATGTCTGTCCAGATCCCTACAGTTTGTATCCATCCCATTTGTGACAGCAACCCGCAAAACAGGAGCAGCAACTTTGTTCATGGCAACACCCACAACAATCCATCTTTTCTCTTCAGCAGAGACCATCATCTTTAACAGTCGCATGAAAAGAGTAAAGAAATGAGATATTAAATACTTTTAAGTTAAAAAGTGCCGATATCTGTAATTATAATCCACAGATTAATTTTCGCGCGATTTTATTGGCTATTTTGGGTCACGTGGTGTCAAATCGGAGGGCGGGTATCGGGCAATACAGCCCATCCGTCTCGATATTTGCCGGCATCTTCCCGTTAAATTAAAGTAGATTTAACACTTGCCAGGAGTAATTAGAAATCTAGCCATTTTGCTCATAGCTTCGCAAATGCAGCCAGCGCTATACAGTAAAGCGACAGAAACTTTAGCGAAATATTCACACGCGACAGTTGCGATAACCTTAGTAAATCTAACAAATGAAATAAGATACTGAGAGAAAAAAGGGGCTTCATTGATTGTTTCCGGCAGCCGGTGACAAGTAATGTACGAGATTAGAAGACCTCCTGGTCAGAATGTTTTTTGTAGCCTAAGCCCGTCATTGATAAGAAAAATAATCTGTGGATTTTAATAAGCAAATAAACTCCTTCCGGCGGGTAGTATATCGGAGGATAATACTACTGAGAGATTGTCCTCAAATTATCACATTTGCCCTCGAAGCGAAATGTTTATTTTTTGGACAATCTCTCAGCCGCCGGAGTTATCCTCCGATATACTAGCCGCCGGAAGGGATTTATTTACCAAATGTCGACCAATGGGAAATATAAATCAGATTTGAAAAATCCCCCAAAATCATGTAGACTACCCATATAGATTATCCACGGTTGGTAACTTTGAGACATATTTTCCATTTAGCTAGTGTGGTTGAAACATGAAATAAACTAACAATAACCCGCATTAGTCATAAGGGTCATAAGATAGGTTAAAAAAAGCTTGACCTTATATTTGCTAATCCGTTGTACGGGCGTCGCAAGAGTGGAACACTTTTTATGTAAGCGAGAGCTGATGTATTGCAGTCTACATGGGATTTTCTTGCTCACAGTCTATATTTTTAAATAAACTTTATAACAAAAGAAGCAAGCAATATCCACCACTTATATGCGTTATAACACTGCTTTGATTGATTTAATAATACCTTCGTAATCAAGCTCAAGGCCATTTTTTAATCATGGGTGAAAAATATCCCTAGAATTTTGATTGGTTTATTAACATTATTTATTCCAAGATCTTCAGCGTCCTGTTGGCTGACCAGCCAATAGGTTACTATTGGTCAACTATCTCAGGTGTGCCATAGGTTTCTTGCGAGAAGGCGATATCGGCATTTCGCCTCTGCACCCTTGAAAAAAATCGCTTTTCGTTTCGTTGCTAAAAGCGGAGCTCCATAGCTAAGAAAATCTATCCATTCAAGAACATTTGGTAGTCACGTGACCGTACGCCCGCCTACCCAAACCGTCCGTCCTCACCACAGAGAAACCAATGTTAAGTCTTACACTTTATAGCTACAATCATGGACAAATGTCTTGGGACACTTTTGCGTTTCTGGGGCGTTTTCCAATTCAAACAGGTCGAACACCTCCCCTCACCCCACAAACAATGTTGGACGGGTGTATCCAGAATTTTTTCCGAGTTTCAACTTTGTATAGGATGGGGGGAGGGAGAAGTGCAAGAAAATTTTGAAAATGATGCACTGTTTTAAGAGGGAACCGAGAAATGACAGAAAAATATGCATATTGCATTTTTTTTTTTTTCACTGCCGCTCATTTTCACTTTACTGGCCGCTAGCATTTCTCATTACATTTTCTCACCAACGGAATAAAATTTCCATTGTTCTTTTATCGAAATTCGTCTCTTTTGGTTTTTTGTTTGTTTTTTTGCTTGTTTTTTATATCTGGCTCTTGTTCTTTTTTGTATTATCCACGTCAGCGTAAAGCGAGAGCTTCGCTGTAAAGACCTTGCAACTTATAACATAATGTGTGAAAACAAATTTCAAAGCCCAACAGTTACTATTAATTGATACAGAAGTTAATATCTTCTTAACACTTAGACTTAATTTCCACTTAATAACCAGCAACCGTCAGAAGTTCTGAAATTTAACCGTCAGCTGTAAAAACCCGAAAAAATTACCGTCAACCGTTAAAGCTATCGCCCCATTGAGACCCTTCTGTTAGAGTACAAGCAATGCACGTCCCCTCTCACTTTTTTTTCCTTTCCAAAGGACTCAAATAGGGCCTGGTTTGTCTATGCATACATCCGTGTATCGGAGAATTGGATGCAAGACACAGGGAGCCGGAGTTAGTGGCTTATTTTTTTTAACTGTTCTGAAAAAATATAATCGTTTCAAGAGCGTAGGAAACTAATATCAGCTTTCACGTAACCAAAGATAAATCAACACTTGGTAATTTTATAATATTATAATTTTTTTATAATCCGTTTACTACACTTATTTTAATATTTAACATTGCAATCAACAGATTTGACACTTGGGGCCTATACTAAACATACGTCATAAACACCACACCAAGCAAAAATGAAACGTTCTACTACAAAGTTAGAGTTTCTTAATTCAGGTTATTTTCTGTTAATTGGAGATTCGTGTGGCTTGCTTTTAAATTATTATGTGGGAAAAGATAGTTGGGTCTATGCTAAAGCTGCTATGAAAAAGGGTGAAAAATATCATCTCAATAAATGGCAAGGAATGTCAAATCTTCGCTTACCAAGTTTACTAGAGGCCCCTATTTTCAATTTTGTTAATTCATCTTCGATTTTCTCCACCTTGTCGTCAGCATTGTCACATCGTCGATTTAAATGTTCTTGATACTGCTCCAGTTGTTCGACTCTTCCATATGTGTCAGCAAGGCCTTCTTCTATCGCTTGAAGTCGCATCGATAAGTTAGCTTCGAAAGACGAAAGTCTTTTCAAAACGTTTTTTATCTCTTCACTTCCATTTTCTGAATATTTTTGTAGCTTCTCTTCCACTTTATCCAGTTGTTCGTGATACTCATCCAACATTTTCTTATGCCATGCTTCCTGATCTTTAAGAGTGGACTCCATAGTATTGATGAGATCCCTCACTTCATCTTGTAACAAATAGAGTGCATCTTTCACCACGGAATTTTCCATGATTAACTGACAGCCTGTAGGAAACAAGAGACTAGGAGGCGTTAATTCGCCGAAGTGGATATCTAGCAAAAACCACTAACAATAACGACAAAAAATTCACTTCTTTGTTGTTGTTTCTTGAGTACCTAACGAAACTGTAGACTGAAAACAACAGATAATTATATTTCCTTTGAAGATTATGAGCGAAGGAACCGGGGTAGACTTGAAATTTCTCCTCAGAGCATCCCTTTTAAAAACAATTTGCCGCTTAGTTTAGACCACTTTATCCCAATAAGTGACATCCCTAACCCTGGACATACTGCTGACTCTTCAGACGCATACGGTTCCCATCCAAACCTATACTGAGCCATAACTTATTTTCTCATGATTTTGCATCAACATTGAGTCCTGCTTTCGACCTTATTTTTTAAGCTTATTTAAACACGTTGTAGGTACGACCCCTGGTCTCCACTTCATTAATTAAACTGACAACGGCCAAGAAAAAGGTTTTTTTTTCTCACTTTTTTGTCATTAAGGCTTTTGGTATTTACATTTTTATACTTTTCGGCTGAAAATTGTTACCTTGTGTTTGCCACTCAGCAAGTTGCTCCAATGCTTTCGTCTCTACTGTAGCCGTCAGTCCCAGACTCTTCAGCAATTTCTCCAGCTTGATAAAGCAATCATTGAACAGGGCATCTGTCCACTCGGTTACATCAACATGGCCCCATTTGTTTCTGACATTTTCCCGGACATCATCAGCGCACGCTTGAGTGTGGAGGGAGAACACAGTGGAAGGCATGTAGTTCTTAAATCCCAACAGGCGAAGGAGGGCAGTCATGTCCAACGACTCATCGAAGGCTGAAAACTGAGCCAGATAACCTGGTAGATATAGCTTGGCTAAGTCTACGGAAGAATTAATGTTGAAGTTGTAGTTGCATGTACCACGCACAAGATTATTGTTGTTGATATTTTGAAATTTTAGGTCCTTAAATATGACTGGATTCGCTCTGACGGTACCGTAGCTTAATGTTTTTAGGCTAGACGGTGGTGTTGAACTTTGGCAATGTCTGTCCAGATCCCTACAGTTTGTATCCATCCCATTTGTGACAGCAACCCGCAAAACAGGAGCAGCAACTTTGTTCATGGCAACACCCACAACAATCCATCTTTTCTCTTCAGCAGAGACCATCATCTTTAACAGTCGCATGAAAAGAGTAAAGAAATGAGATATTAAATACTTTTAAGTTAAAAAGTGCCGATATCTGTAATTATAATCCACAGATTAATTTTCGCGCGATTTTATTGGCTATTTTGGGTCACGTGGTGTCAAATCGGAGGGCGGGTATCGGGCAATACAGCCCATCCGTCTCGATATTTGCCGGCATCTTCCCGTTAAATTAAAGTAGATTTAACACTTGCCAGGAGTAATTAGAAATCTAGCCATTTTGCTCATAGCTTCGCAAATGCAGCCAGCGCTATACAGTAAAGCGACAGAAACTTTAGCGAAATATTCACACGCGACAGTTGCGATAACCTTAGTAAATCTAACAAATGAAATAAGATACTGAGAGAAAAAAGGGGCTTCATTGATTGTTTCCGGCAGCCGGTGACAAGTAATGTACGAGATTAGAAGACCTCCTGGTCAGAATGTTTTTTGTAGCCTAAGCCCGTCATTGATAAGAAAAATAATCTGTGGATTTTAATAAGCAAATAAACTCCTTCCGGCGGGTAGTATATCGGAGGATAATACTACTGAGAGATTGTCCTCAAATTATCACATTTGCCCTCGAAGCGAAATGTTTATTTTTTGGACAATCTCTCAGCCGCCGGAGTTATCCTCCGATATACTAGCCGCCGGAAGGGATTTATTTACCAAATGTCGACCAATGGGAAATATAAATCAGATTTGAAAAATCCCCCAAAATCATGTAGACTACCCATATAGATTATCCACGGTTGGTAACTTTGAGACATATTTTCCATTTAGCTAGTGTGGTTGAAACATGAAATAAACTAACAATAACCCGCATTAGTCATAAGGGTCATAAGATAGGTTAAAAAAAGCTTGACCTTATATTTGCTAATCCGTTGTACGGGCGTCGCAAGAGTGGAACACTTTTTATGTAAGCGAGAGCTGATGTATTGCAGTCTACATGGGATTTTCTTGCTCACAGTCTATATTTTTAAATAAACTTTATAACAAAAGAAGCAAGCAATATCCACCACTTATATGCGTTATAACACTGCTTTGATTGATTTAATAATACCTTCGTAATCAAGCTCAAGGCCATTTTTTAATCATGGGTGAAAAATATCCCTAGAATTTTGATTGGTTTATTAACATTATTTATTCCAAGATCTTCAGCGTCCTGTTGGCTGACCAGCCAATAGGTTACTATTGGTCAACTATCTCAGGTGTGCCATAGGTTTCTTGCGAGAAGGCGATATCGGCATTTCGCCTCTGCACCCTTGAAAAAAATCGCTTTTCGTTTCGTTGCTAAAAGCGGAGCTCCATAGCTAAGAAAATCTATCCATTCAAGAACATTTGGTAGTCACGTGACCGTACGCCCGCCTACCCAAACCGTCCGTCCTCACCACAGAGAAACCAATGTTAAGTCTTACACTTTATAGCTACAATCATGGACAAATGTCTTGGGACACTTTTGCGTTTCTGGGGCGTTTTCCAATTCAAACAGGTCGAACACCTCCCCTCACCCCACAAACAATGTTGGACGGGTGTATCCAGAATTTTTTCCGAGTTTCAACTTTGTATAGGATGGGGGGAGGGAGAAGTGCAAGAAAATTTTGAAAATGATGCACTGTTTTAAGAGGGAACCGAGAAATGACAGAAAAATATGCATATTGCACTACTGTCCAAGGACTTTTGTATAGGATTGTAGTTTGGGAGCCTGCAACTTGGTATTGCACATCCATGTTGTGGTTAATTGACAGCTGTCAAAACATACATCCGCTGACCAGTATCACATGACCGTCTCGAGGCTCAACTGTCGGCTTATCAGTTTGCGTCTTTTTCTTAAAGTTATCCGCTGACTAGTTACTAGTTTCCAAACGGTCGCAGGTTCAACTTCAATTTTTTTTAATCAACGGGAAATTAACCTCTTTCCCAGAACTTTTTCCCTTAGAAAATGGAGATGGCGGGAACGAGGTCGACAGGAAATAAGGTGCGTTTATGGGCCACATTTTTAAACTTTTTATTTCAAATTGACTTCGGACGCGAAAATTCAGCCAGTCTTTACAGGCAGGGAAGGCAGTTGCTTTTGGCTTTCCTCACCATGGTCACGCGATGCTCACGCTCACCGGTACCTTTGACAGGTGAGGTCATGCGGAAAATTTATGCAGCATCTGGAAACGTATTTACTGATAGCTGAAGCTGACAGAGTTTTGTGTCATCTTATGATATTTTGAACTGTCTTTTCAACTGGATGTACAAAATGAAATACAGCTGTCATCAAGATTCTTCTGTTATTCATGGTTGGTTTATTTATTGGGTTTTTCGTTGAGAAATGCGCCGCTTGTTAAAGTCCGTCGGAAATCCGATTTCGGATGGCATCATTTTCAAAAATGAGTTTAGGCTGCATTCATTATGTATAGGGGGGGCGGGGGGCACAGGATTCTTTTTTAAAGGGGCGAGATTTCTTCATATCCCCTACACATCATACAAATTTTTTTCACATCCCTTCTCTTGAGCAAAAGAAAAAATTACAGCCCCCCTCCGTCAGTCTTAATGAGGAAAGTATGATGAATTGGTGCAGAGGTAAATGTTTGAAGTAGAAAACAAAAACAAAAGGTAACCAAAGGTTCAGAGCTAGCTGTGCCCACTAGGCAATTGAATACCATGTGGCTGCTTAGATTCAACAACAAACTGCAATCATCCCAAGGCAGGTTGAATTTGGGACCAAGGCTAGCAAAGAACAAGCTTAAAAGTGAAAAGAAGGCAAAAAAAGTAGAGGTCGTAATGATAATGTACTGCAAAAAGTAAAGGACATTGCAGTTTTAGTGTATTAATAATAATTGAACTAGATCAAGAACAAGACGCTATGGAGCGTACACTTTGGTGTGGGGTTGTGGAACTGATTAACTGTAAATGCCGAGCAATAGTAAGAAATGAAATATAGTAAGAGTAAAATGTTAATTTGTGAAATTATGGGATTTGTTAGGATATTCTGAAAAGAGCAACATTCAAGAGGCCAAGTTGCCAAAAACTAGCATCTCGGGGCAAATTGCCTCTGAGATACAGTGACGCCTGTATTAAACGGACACCCTCGGGGAATGCTGTAGTGTCCGCTTAATGCAGGGTGTCCGCCTAATACAGGTCTCGATAGATAACGTGATATAAGGTGTCAAATGCCATTGAAATGAACAATGGAAACGTTTAGAATACTCCCAGAGACTATGACGATATACGTTTGCATTAATTTCTTTTTTAAAGTGGACCAATTGATCATAGTACCATAAACATGGATTGCAACTCAAATTTGAAGAAATCAAATGAGTGCAACAAGCTCTATACAAACAAGACGAAATAGAAAACAATACTCTAATGTGAAACTAATCAAGTTCGTCAAGTCACGTTTTTTAATGTAAAAATCGAACAATTTTTGGGTAGCAATTCGAGAAAAATCTTTCACATTTCCGGTGTCTGGCATGTTGGGTGGTGGAATTTAATTACAAGTGTCCGTTTAATACAGGCTGACAACAATAGAAATGGCCATTTCTGGTACCTTTTAGGTGTCCGCGTCCGCTTAATAGAGCGTGTCCGCTTAATACGGTGTCCGCTTAATACAGGTTTCACTGTATTAGCCCAGTTATGCTCTGATGACTCCATACAAATCCTTCTAAATTTGACTCGGGTCTAAACGTTTAGACCTAATTTTAGCGAAATTTATGTCCCTGTTACTTAACACACGCTCGACAGAGTCAAGAAACAAAGAATTGCCTTGAAACAACATTTGCTGTGGAGCCACAACATGCATTATGAACAAAGTCCAGGGAGCAACAAATTTTAGCGAAATTTACGTTCCTATTACTAACACAAGCTCGACAGAGTCACGAAACAAAACGTTGCCGTAAAAAAACATCAGCACCGGAGCCACAAGATACATGATGATCGATTCCAGGAAGAAACAAACTTAGCAAAATTTACGCCCCTGTTACTAACACACGCTTGACAGAGTCAGGAAACAAACATCGCCGTAAAAGAACATCTGATACAGTGGAGCCATAAAATACACTGTAAACAAGTACAGTGAAATATAAGTGTTTGAGCAAAACAGCATTTATAAATAATAAAAATAACAACACGTACCTGCAAAACCCAAGGGGAATAGCAGCATTCTAATGATGCAGGCTACGAAAATACTTCATGCAAAAAAACTTACGCAGCAGGAAGAACAAAACCATACAAAATAAGTACATGGAAACGAGAACTTAAATCTGCATGCAAAAAGCATGAAACCGGACAGACTGGAAGAAACAACGTACAATTGTATAAGAACTAAAGGCCTGATTGCTATCCCGTTTGAGAGCAGCCAAATAAGTTGAGAGAAAAACTGAAGCCAGCAAAACAAAGGCACGCAGGATCCAAAGCAAACTAAGAGCTGTAAAAGGAGACCATAACCTGGAAGTTAAAGAAAATTGTTAGGACGATGCCGAAAGACGAAGCTGAAGAGATAGCAGTCTTAACCCGGCTTATCTAATCGAACATTCGGTAATCGAAATCAATCGAATTCAATAGAAACTTCGATTGCCGAAAATGATCGAACAAAATCGAGCTCACACAAAAAATATGGCCGATCGAACACACTCGAACGTTCAATTTCCGAAGTTTTGATTAAACAATTTGAACATGATATATTTTCTTGACTGGTTTTGCATGGGAAAATCGCTTATTATTGTTCAACGAAGTGATCCCAAATCCAAAATACAGCCATATACCTGGACATTGAGTACAGTGCAATCCAGGACTCTGAGGACCAATAAGAGAATTATTTTAGACAAAGATGTGAAAAGTTATGTTTATTTGAACTACATTTTTGTTCGCAAGTTCTGACAAGGGTTACGTTAGGTAGGGCTTTTTCATATTTAAAAAAATGTGATAAAAATGCGCAGAGAACAACATACATATGAATTCACTGCGGAGAGGTTGCAGTCGTTTGATAATCACACGTTACC